TCAATCAATCAATCAATCAATCAATCAATCAATCAATCAATCAATCAATCAATCAATCAATCAATCAATCAATCAATCAATCAATCAATCAATCAATCAATCAATCAGTCAGTCAGTCAATCAATCAATCAATCAATCAATTTCACGACATTATTCCATAAAAAGTGTTGATTATTTTTAGACACAAAAGTAGTTTCCAGCGTAGCATCTGTTAAACGTTGCGTCATCGCTACAAGAATTGATTTGATGTGCGCTGCTTCATTTAACACGTCATGGTTGCCTCCCCCAGGCCAGCGGGCCATTCAGGCTTTCTACTCGTTTGTACTAAATTAATTTTTAAACTCGGCATAACACAAATTATTGCATTTAAATGATGGCAGGTAATTAAACGAAATTGATTTTTACTTTCTTGTTTTTATTTTATCTTCACCAATGATCGTATCTTTTTAACTCGGTTAGCTCGCTGGTTTATTTTTCCATTTTAATTTAGAACCAGGAACAGGATGTTGTTGTATTATTCTTTTTTAATGTTTCTCATTATATTATTTTTTTAAATTATTTGATTTTTAATAACATTCATATTACAACTTCAAGGTATTTATGATATTTGAACTAAAAATAAAATGAAAATAATTCCATCGAAATAAATAGATATGCAATATAGCCACATGAAAGTATTCCACATTTTGTTCTAAGGAGCGTTCAAGCATTTTTTTGCTGGAGAAATTTCGGGCGATCAATCTTCGTTCCAATTTGTATTTTGTTTCAACCAGCGTTTCAGAGCTTTGCCCAATTTATTTTCTCAATTATTCATATAAAAATGAATCAGACCTGAAGCTCTTACGCTGAAATGAACAAGAGAAACAGCTTTCAGTTTGCGCTATAACAAACCAGAAAATTGTTTTAAATGTTATGTAACATAACTAGATATAAAATGCTTTTTAAAAGAACTTTTATATTCTGTCGGCATGCTATAATTTACCGTTGAAAGTGTTCGTCTTAACGAAAAGTGTACTAAAAAATAATAAGAGATGAACCAAAGTAGACACCGATTAAAACAAAAATTTAATTTAATACAATTATACAAGTCTAAATAAAATTTTATTTTCATGATTTTCAAGAAGCATTTTATATAAATTAAAACATTTGCTAACAAGTTGAAACATTTCCTAAACTGAAAGATTTCGTAAATTAGAACCTTCAGCTACAAATCAAATCAATCAATAAATAAATATTCTCTCTCTCTCACACACACAAATGATAACATAATTCTTGTTCAAAACAAAAATGTCATTTCTAAAACATAAAAATAAAACAATTAACCACAAAAATATTAAAAGCAGTATACAAATAGACGGAACAACAGAATTAAAAATATCAATAATAAACTCATTTATAATTCCATTGTCAAAACAGGGAGATGATAAAAGTCATCATTCATTGTGGGAATAAAAGTACATTTTTCTTCCTCTCTCTCTCTTTCTGTTTCGTTCTCTTTCTCTCTCTCACTCTCTTCTAAGCTTTTTATCTTTTTCTATCAGTCTTTTTTCAAGTTTTTCTCATTCCTTTTTTCTATATTTTCTCTTTTTCATTTGCTATCTTTAATTTTGTCATTCACTTTTTCTCTTTCACACCCTTTCTCTTGCTCTCTCTCTCTCTTTTTCTCTCTTTCTCTCTATCTCTCAATTTTTCATTCTTCTCACTTTCCCCCTCACAAGCCTTCAACCATCTCCTTTTTTTGTATACTTTTGTACTCTCAACACATTCATCCTGAAATGCACTGTTCCCTCATTCATAAAAATCGTACACATATTAGGACATATCATGACCATAATTATAAAATCAATTCATTTAGTTAACTATTTTAAAGTACCGAGCCGACGGAACATGGCCGAAATCAAATTACACATATATGTTTACTCATCGCATGAAAGTGACATCAGTAGAGGCAGCAAATGAGTATAAAAGATGAGGATAAAAATATGAAAACGAAGCTAGGTGGTTGTATAAAATATTTTAAGTTGTGCGTTATGGCTCAATTTGCTTCGCGTTATGTGGCCGTTACTTGATGAGATGCTTGCTCTTTAAAAACTTTCCATCTCTGTAAAAATATAGAAAACGTTATTTTTTTAAATTTAATCCAAAAAGACAAATACATTTTTGTTAATTTTTTTATTCTTATAGATGTAAATATTACATGAAAAAATTCTGTTGAAAATAAGCAGCATTATTATGAAGATGCAATCTCGTTGTTTCACCTCAAGCCAAGCCATCGAAAATCTTGACATTTATTAGCTTGAAAATGTGCAACAAAAAATTTTTATTAACATTACTTCATGCCAAACTGAGAGAACATTTGTTAAAATATTTTTACTCCCAAAAAAAGTCGCTTTTGTTGTGTGACTGTATTACAAATTTGTGGATGTTTTTTTCGCAGGAGCCACTGTATGTAGTTATTAGTTTATGTTCGTTTCTGGGATAGGCCTACAATTTTATCATTCTATGTTTGATCATTTTTTTTAAATTTCTTTAGCAATCATTTTCGTCTCGTAACAAATGAAATTTTTAGTATTCAAATTTCTTTTCACCGTTTCTTTTGGAGTTTTTTTTTCATCCCAAGTATTTCAGCCAACTATTATTTAAGCTGGTTGCATGATTAGGTTGATAGGTTGCTTATAGTTAACTTACGTTTTAAAAAAACTTAACAAATGTAATTAATCTAAAGAGATATGAAATAAATTCAGATCAGTTAAAAAACAACTAAAAAAACACGAAACTAAACTGAATTAACTGAACAAATCTGGCAGACATTCAGTCCTTGGCATCTATCGTCCCAGAGTTAAACGTCAAACAGCATTTGACTTGCTGATAATTCTTCCTATCACACACAAGCGACCACACACACTCACACACACACACAAACAACCACACACACACACACACACACACACACTAACACTAACAACCACACACACACACACACACACACACACACACACACACACACACACACACACACACACTAACACTAACACTAACAAATATATACACACTTAACATTAAGAAATAAAGACAAAGGCATTAAAATTATTATAAAATTAAAAACTCTAGCAAGATTTTTGCGACGGATGGGCAGGCGATACAAGACCTTCAAGATAACACATATAACATTCAAGTATTTTTGTAATGTTTATCAAAGTCAAAACCAACATATCAACGCCATCATCGCCAACAAAAAACCACAGAACATTTATAAAAATATTATCATAAACATCAACATCGTCATCAACACCATCATCATCATCGTTGTCTTCAACATCATCATCATATCATCGTTTGCGGCGTTATTTTCTAAGAATCTTCTGCATTCAACACCTCTCCTATATAATCATCATCATTTTTTTATCCCATTCAAAAGCTACATCCCATCGTCATCTTCATCATCATCACCTTCTTCATCACCATCATCTTCTTCATCATCATCATCGTCATCTTCTGCATTGTCATTTTCTGCATCGTCATATTCTTCATCATCATCATCATTGTTATCATTTTCTAACAGCTATTCAAGAAATTTTATTATCAAAAGCATCGCCTTTTCGACCATCATTATCGCCAACCTTATTTTTGTTGATGTCACCATTTGTATTGTCACCATCATCATCATCATCATCATCATCATCATCATCATCACCAGCAGCAGCAGCAGCATCTGAATTAGCATTATCATCATTGTCGTCACAAAATATAATTGTGATAAAGCATAATTGAGATGATCATCAATATTGTCGTTTTCACACGATCATCATTGTTTTGTTGCTTCAGTTGTCCACCGACAATACTCTCCTTAGCGTCAAAACCATTGAGTCACTCTTATCATCAATACCTCCACCACCACCAACCATTTTCATCATCAGCACAACAAGCTGTCCACCGTCAACCACACCACACCATCAACAGGCAGCAGACAAGCATCCTCCTTAAGAAATAGTTCGTTAAAATGATAAAAGGCCGGTTAGGCGCAAATAAGCAACAGTTGATCTCTGATTGCCTGGCAAAACGTTCCGCGTTCAATCATTTTCTCTCAATCCCATCTTAGTAGGACGTGTCGGCCTTAATTATGTGCTGCTGCCTGCCTTTACGTGTGCGGTGCTCTACTCTGCTCTGCTCTGCACTGCTCTCGTGCAGATACCTGCGTAGTGAATACAAATTTACAACTCACTTGTGTGTGTGTGTTTTGTGCGTGAGTGTTTGTGTGCGTGTGTAGTTTGTTTGTGTGTGTGTTGTGTGTGCGTAAATATTGAAGTGCATTTTATTGGTTATTCAATAATTGTACAAATTACATACGAAAAAATATAAGTTTATCAACCTAATCACGTAAACATTTAAAACACGGAATGAAGAAAAGGATGGGGGTAGAGAAATTATAAAATGGTGATGCGTCAATCATAACGATGGTGATGTCTATGATGATGATGACGATGATGATGAGGATGATGGTGATGAAGGTGATGAGAATATGACAACTAAGAACAAAATGTCTTTAAATATTTGTTGATTCAAGTCTAATAATGTGAAACCATCAAGTCAGCCTGCATTTGAATGCCAGCGTGGTGGCTGAATATAAATGTATGTTTTGATTTTTGAATAAAAAATAGCAAATTTAAAGGAAATGAAGAAATGGAAGACCCTAAAAAATTCACCATTAGGGATATGATTACGTCACGGAGATAGCAACGGTGTCATCATCATCATTTTTGTTTTCCCTGGCGCCATCTCTAGAACAATTACTCTTCGTTACAATCACGTCCGGAGTCAAATAAAAGTGGGAAAGCTTTTTGGCGATCTTCGAATTTCGAACAGAACAATTGCGCGCGCGTCGCGTTTTAAATTGAGTTTGATATCTTCAAATGCAAAATTTTCATGTTTGTTTTTGTTAGCTAAATGGACAAACAAATTTTTCGGCGATGGATATTTTAGTCTTGTAAATATTTAAAAAAATGTATAACCTGGTTATGTTGAAAGATAATTTTGAAAGTTGGATTGAATGAAATTTTATTTTTAATTAAACATATTCAAAGCAAATTATTTATCTAATAAATATTTGAATGAGAAAATATTTATTGGGATCTAACTTTCCATCCACCGATCTATCTATCCATCCATCTTTTTATTTATCCAGTTATCCAATCATCCACGCATTCATCCATTTCTCCATCCATCCAAAAATTATTTATCTTTGAATTATCTGCGCCAACTTTATTGATCCGGCCTGTTAATCTGATTTATTCAGCAATTTTTGGTAACGATGTCACGTTGTCAGCATCCTCATCAGCATCATCATCTTAATGATGATGCATCGTCATCATCTATACTGTCGTGCCATTTTTATTTGTTTCATTTTTATATTTGTTTAAATTTCATATTTTAAATTATGCAATATATTAATCATATTTTTTATACTTCTTATGTTTGTGAATCCTACTCACCTTAATTATCCCATGCAAATTGGAATGCCATGGCTCCGAAACTGGATTCGGATTCTGATCCGAATTCAGAGTTTCTGAAAAGATTTAGATTCAGGGACCCGAAATCGGGGATCCACCATTTTACGGGTTCAAAATCAACTTGAAAAACGAAAAAAACTCCGATCGGCAGAAAAGGTGAATCTAATTATCGACAACGATATGTGACTAACATTGCTACTTACATGTTGAATGGTTGATACATCAACGTTTTGTAATTACTGGTTTGGTTCGGTTTGTCAGAGAAAAATTTTGCAAGTAACAACATATTTCGTTTTGAAACAGCATTCTTGGATTTAGGATCGTACGCAAATTGGATCCGGATTCCGATCCGTCCCGACCCATCATCAGGATTTTGATTCGGATCCAGAAACCACGGATCTCAAGTTCTTGGATTCATCCAATTCCTACTTAATATCATTATTTTTGCATTTTCATTATCACCATCATTATTACTAATACTACTACTAACGCATGATTTTGAAAAAAACAATTCCAGTTAACCCACTAGTAGTAGTAGTAGTAGTAGTTGTTGTAGTAGTAGTAATAGTAGCAGTAGTAGTAGTAGTAGTAGCAGTAGTGTATTAGCAGTAGTTTAGCTTTGTTATTATTATTAATATTATCATTAGTACCGTCATAAGTATATTATCGTCATCTTCATCACCAACGTGTATTATCACACTGATCAATACTCAATCAATGCCCTAGATACTCTGGCATTATAATAATCAACGTTATCAATCATTAATAAACCTGGGATATGTATCATCTTTGTTATCACCAAACTTTATCATTATCTGATCATTTTATATATCTTATCAATATTATCACCTGACACTGTAACCATATTGGTAAATGTAAAATAATTTATCCTCAGAAGGATTGCTATTCATTTAGGATTTACACTATTGAAGTAATTTTTCATATAACCGTCATCACGTCATTATCATTTTTAATTCCATAAATTTCAATTTCAACCATTTTCGCAGTTGTCATGTCGTCGCCATCTTTCCATCGTCATCATGTTTCCCGCCCAAACAATTTTTTTCTGCTCGACTGTTAATGTTTTTGCTCAATACAATTGTAGACGAATGTGGTTCAGCAAACACAAAGCTATTATTTGTTTTATTATTTTTTTCATTATTGCTATTATTTATAATATTATTATTATAATTTATTATTAATAATTCTTATTAACACCTAAGTTAAATTTTACTTTGGCTCTTTCTCCTGAGAAGCAAGGACATAAACGAAGAGATAATATCTCAAATAACTACCATTGAGAATTAATCTAAAAAAATTATGAATTTGGTTGATTAAAATAACATAAAAAACAGAGCATAATGTCTTCGCACATTACGCTAAAAAGTTAAAAATTAACAAACTTAAACAAATTTAGATGAATAAATAAATAGAAAATATTGGAAAATGAAATGGTAATTATCGGCTTGGTAAACATTTTTGTTGACTTGCATTAGGAATAACAAACAATGTTTGTTTGCACTACTGGAGCGTGAACATTATAGTACAACTGAAACAGTACTAGGGGAACATCAGCATGTAAGTAAGGCTGAACGGTAGTATGTCTAGTCTATACTGCCGAAATATTAACATGTTTGTACTTACTGCTGAAATATTAGCAATTAGCAGCGAGACAATACTCGACCGTGTAAATCAAGGATAGTAAATAAAGCATGAAACATATGCAACGCATGCCAGCGTTCCTGTAGGTCCGTTGCTGCTGCTGCTGCTGCGTTTGTCGTTATAGCTGCGTCTGTTGTTGCTGCTACAGCCGCTGTTTCGTAGCAGTTGTTGTCGCTGCAGTTCATGTTCTTGCTCTTTTTCTTTTTTTGGTTGTTGCCCAAGTCAATTTGCTGCTATACGTAAAAATTTAAAGATAATTGGTTATAATAAATAATTATTGATTTTTAGTGAATTTACGATGTCTTATAAGTCCAAATAATTTTACATAATTCAGTTTAAATCATTTGCATAAAACTTACAAATGCACATAGAGGAAGTTGAATATGAATAAAAATGAATGGCCTACAGAAGAACCAAGTAAACAGGATTGCGCCAATCTGTGAGCTTTTGAAATTACTCAATGAACAAACAAAAGGGTGTAAGTAAATGAATGAATTAATGAATGAAACATTTGCTATTGGATTGGATCCTACACAACACTTTAATGTTTGCAGACATCTTAATTGATTATCCTAATTTAAAATATCGGGTGGCGTGATGGCTGAAAGGTCAAAGGCGCCTGTTCCTGATTTGCACTGAACAAGTTTGAATGCAGATATATGTTCAAGTTGTGTTGTTGAGATCTCTGAATGTTAGCAGGGTATTATAAATTTTAACCTTTAATATGCAATTTTAAATACCAACCTAATTATTATATTCAGGCTCGTTCACATGTCGCTCCCTATAATTCGCATGCAGTCCGGAGCTTGGTTTCAGGATAAATGCTTAGCATCAAGTCAAGTGATTGAATAGTTCATATTGATCCATTCAGCTGTTTAGTTAACTTCATCTTTGTCGAAATGTGAGTGCACGTTCTAACTACATGGCATGGCACGTGTATGCCTGAATACCTCGTCATTCATACTTTACCGCAGGCAACAGTGCAGATAAACGCAAATATAAATAAACGCAAACATATAAACTCAAACATATATACACCCAAACATATATAATACACCCAAACATATATATATCCAAACATGTCCAAACACAAGCATACTCACTGAAAAAATCTTATGGTTGATGCAAAAAATGAAATAATATTTTAATCAAATTACAACGAATTATTCATTTGTTTATCTAAATGGAGACGATAATTCCATGCGAGTCCATTGTATTGATAGATACATATGTATTGTACGTTGTACACAAACACAATCGATACATTTATTACGACGAGTACGACATGAACCATCTGTGTGTATTAATTATAATTAATTGCATGTTGTATGTGATTCGCGTAATCTAAAGCATTTTTACGTTTTATCGTTTGTACAGCTCTGTCCAATTTGTACAATTTGTTTGATTTATTGGACGTGTGTACAATGGCCCAGAGTGATGAAGATCTAGTACACAGATACACACAACACATACAAATATATATATATATATATATATATATATAGAGAGAGAGAGAGAGAGAGAGAGAGAAAGAGAACAAGCATAAACACACGGACGTACATAGGTACATGCAGCACTGAGAACGTGCACGAACTTGTAACGTGAAACATGAGTTTATCAAGGTGGATACAATTTTTAGTTAACAAATGCTTATTCAATGTCTAAATGCTCCTGATTACTAAAGATCCAGTGAGGACAGATGATACACGTTTAATGACACATGTGTCGCTCATATATGTGCAGATGAAACATGTTCAAATGTTGCCTTCTCGAATTATATATGTTTAAACGAAACATGTCCAAATAATTCTTGAAAGAAGATGCATGATTAGACGGTATACATTCAGATAATACGTGTTAAGATGTGCATATTCAAGTAATATGATTTGATATATTCTGTAATTGTTAGTACTATCAATATAACGGAACACCTCATAAGTTCCTCCTTCGTATAAGGTCGAGTAAATTGGATACCTTACAAATCACTTCATCAGCAGTAATAAAAAGTC